TTTTTTTTTTTTTTTTTTATTTTCGTTTTTTAAGATTTTTGCTGCATTTCCTGCCCCCCCTCCCACTGGTAGCCAAGAAAGTTTCCTTCCATATATAAATCTTTCCTTGACTTTCTACAATGATGAACTAATACAATATTTGATCTTCTGTGATTGACTTATTTCACTCAGCATAATGTCCTCCAGAAAGAAAGATATTTTAGAAAAATAGTGAGTCTACTCAGGAAAATGTTTATCATAGTCAGATCCCATCCTATTGTGTGTCCAAATTAAACATTTTGAGCCAATAAACTGTTTTTAGTGGAATTGTAGGTGTAGGTCAGGACACAGAGGTCAGTAAATGATGTGTGTTCCCCTTTAAGGAACTCAGTCTGGTTGGGAAGAAACATGTAAATTAGTTAACCGTAATATGTGAAGTGCTACTAACAGGAAAAAAGTCTGGGAGAACAGGTGAATGGGTAGATAATTCTGATTTTGAAAAAGGTCTGGAGAAGTCAGAGAAGCTCAGTCAGTTAATTTAGGGGAGAGGGCATTTCAGATATTAAAAGAGCTAAATTGTGAGTTGTGAACTGGGTTGATACTTTGGAGAAATTCTAAGTAGTCCAGCATAAATGTTCTTCTGTTATGAAGCAATATACAATTTATAGAACGTTTAGAAACTACCATACGGTTGAAAGAAGAAACAAAAATCGGGCATTGTTTTCCCAATCAGAAACTACCGCTATTAATGTATTAGTATGCTTCCCACCAGTTGTGGTTTTTTTCTTTCTCTTATTTCTTCTTGGCTTTTGTTTGTTTTAAACTATAGTTATTAGAAAATATGTGTGTTTGTACACACATTTTTTTTTAATTATGATTTGGGTGAAGATTTACAGAGCAAATTCACTTTCTATACAGCAGTTCATATATACTTTGTCTCATGTCATTGACCACAGTTTACCACAATGCAACAGCTCCCCTCCCACTTCCTCCCCATAGTTACCACTTCCCAGTGTCCATCCCTCCATACTCTCCTGCCCCCTGAGCTGTCTCCCAGTGCATAAGCAGCCCTTCCTTCTCCCATGATTGTTCTCTCCAGGTCGTGTACACACATTTTTGATATTAAGGTTTTCACTTAACATCAAAAGTATTTTCCAATTTAGTATATGCCTTTAGTGAACATAATTTTGTCAGCTGCATTGCATTTCTTTGAAGGGGATAGATACACTTTGGTTTAGTTAGCTCTTCTCCTGTGTTGAACATTTATTTCCAAAGTGGGTAAAACTTACATTAATGCAAACAGATTATCAAACTTAAAATACCATATATTAAATTAATAACCTAATCAGAACACATGGTATTTTAAGTTTTCATTTTCTCTTATTTAGTCACAGGTGGAAAAGAAAAAAGATGTCTTGTGGTCTTTCCATTCTTATATGATTTACTGTCTTAGAATTAGTATATAATTTTATAAACCAAAAAACCTGTTGCAGTCGATTCCAACTCATTTTGACCCTGTAGGACAGAGTAGAACTGCCCTGTAGGGTTTCCAAGGATACAATCTTTATGGAAGCAGAGTGACACATCTTCCTCTCACAAAGAGGCTGGTAGGTTTGAACTGCCAGTGTTTTGGTTAGCAACTGAGTGTTAACCACTGTGCCACCAGGGCTCCTTATGTAATATTTTAATGAAATATTTTTAAAATAAGTAGTAAAAAGAATAAGCCATTCCTCGGAAGGAAGATGGGGCAATCTACTTCCGTAATGATACTGCCTCGGAAACCCAAGGAGGGGTCGCTATGAGTTGGGTCTAACTTGATGGCACATAACAACAACAACAACAACAACAAATAAGACATCAGCCTATAGAAGAAGCAATTCCTAGTGGGAAATTTATGATTTTTTTCCCCTTCTAATAGTTTCTAATTGTTGTTGTTGTTGTTATGTGCTGTCGAGTCAGACCTGACTCATAGCGACCCCTCCTTGGGTTTCCGAGACAGTATCACTATGGAAGTAGGATTGCCCACCCTTCCTTCCGAGGAGTGGCTAGTGTATAGGTAAGATAAATGATTCTTTTACCTTTCTGTTCATTGGAATGTTGTTTTTTGTATGCTTCCCCTTGAAATCTGAAATTTGGGTTGATTCTAGTGTTAGTAATAATAGTTTTGTCAGGAAAATTACACAGAATGTTTCTTTCCAGTTTATTCTGCTTAATATCTAAAACATTCGTCAAGTTGAACAGTGATTGATACTAGATGCTGAGTAAATTCTTGATTAATCAAATTGTATGTAATTTTTAAAATTCTTAGTGAAAAATTTTGTGTATTTTAAATTAATGCAATCTTATTTTAATATGGTTGCTTCATGATTAATGAAGCATGTACAATATAAATTTATATTCTGATGGATTGACATGGTGGCTGGAACAATGAGCTCAGGTGTACCAAGGATTGTGAGGCTAGCACAGGAATGGGCAGTGTTTCGTTCTGGTGTACCATAGGATCGCTGTGAGTCAGAGCCAGCTCAGCTGCACCTAACAACAACAATGAATTATGAAAGTGAAGCGATTTTTAAACCTTATAGGTGTATTTAAAGTGAAAGTTATTCTCCCACATCATTTTTCTGGGACCATAGACTTGTGACGATTTGGAGAAATTAATGAGCTGTTACTGGTATTTCTCAATAGCTGTGTTTTTAGAATTAAATCTGTAGAAATTTATTCTTAAATCACTTGAGAATGAAAATAGAACTGTGGAAAGAAAAACAGAATTGCTTCACAAATCATGAGGTAACGTGGGAAATGAAACCTAAATTCATATAATGTATAGTCCCTTAAGGTGTGTTATCCAAAGGCTTAGCACTGGTCATTGATTTAGAGGAGCTCTGAGGCAAAATTATTTATTTGATAAATAATTTTTGTTACGGTTTCCAATAAGTTGAAGCATCTCTTAAAACAGATCCCTTAAATTTAGTGTTGATGTGCATTTTATTTTTAGGGGTAAGAGAATTTAGATATTGATACTAAAAATGTTTTAAGGGAAGAGCAAAGTTTTTTCATTTCTTAGAAATTTTAAAACAGGCCCCATGAACTTATCCAGAGCATCCTCAACCATGAATTCCCCCAGTGTTAAATGACATTGAACCAAGTGGCAAGGTAAGATGCTGTGGTATCCTGGTAGGTACTTTGTAATCTGTTCCTCTGCTGAAGTCTAGGACTGAGTAAATTCCTTACTTTTGATTTCTGCTGTGGCAGCCTGAGCATCCCTGATTGTAACACTCTATAACCAAGCTTCTGTGAAACCTAGATCAGTCTCTGAAGTCAAATGGAACATTTTCCATTATTGATTAGATATTGAATCCACTTTGTTAAACTAGTTGAGGGTAATAAGAGACATTTGAGTCATTAACTGAGAAGATGACAGGTCTCCAAATGTGACCACTGTCTTTTCACTAGGTCAGCTATTATTTATTCAACAGAAGAGCCTTTCAGTTTAAAAGTATGTGGGACTTGTTTACATCATGAAGAAGAGTGGACATATATTTGTAATTTTCAGGTTAGACCCAAGGGGTTATCTTGTTTGGAGAATAAGGTTCAGTCCTAAATTGAAACATTTTACTGTTACCACAGTCCAGACTGCTCCAGTAATTGTTACCCCTAAAGTCTAATTGGATATAGAAAGAAAGATAGGGCTGATACAGAAAAGTCAGCAAATCACTTGTTAGGGTGGGGACTTGCCCAAAAAGTGAGTTCAGTCGTATTCAGGGCTAATTGTTTTAAATGCTATCTGATTTCAGGTTGCAAGTTGGTCTATTGTAAAATGTCATCCAATCATTGTGCTCATGCTAATGAGATACAAGTGACTGCCTTGTAGGGTCTCTTTAACAGGTTGAATTGCTTTTAGTCTTGCAGGCCGAAAACAAAATTGCTTAATAAAAATCCACATCTGCTGAACTTTCCAGATTATGAGCAAGTTTCAGCAAAAGTTTTCTCTTACTTCATCAGGAACGACAATCGAGTGGTTAGAACCAAAGATACCTTTATCAAACCACTATAAAAATGCAGCTGAACAGCCCTTTGCAGCTGAGCAGAGTAAACCAGTGGCAGTCCCAGAAGAGCAGTCTGTTGCAGAATCTGGACTATTAGCAAGGGTAAGGTAACGTGAAAGTTTGATTTTGATGTAAAAAAATAGAAATCACTGAACAGGGTCAATTCCCTTCTTTTTGTCAGGGCATGCAGTGCAACATAACATCAGAGCGACACTTACAGATTCTAGACATTGCTGTTCTATTTGAAACTGCATTGGTTTTGTATTAAACTTATACATGTTGTTTTTTCCAGGTTAAATTATGGACCCTTTTTTGTTTTGCTTTATATTTCCTTGCTAATAATGTATTTTAAAATTTTAATTTTTGTATTTTTTTTTCCCCTGGAGTATAGCTTATCTAATAAAATTGTTTGCATGATATTTATCTCCTGTAGTTCTTACCTTCTTATATTAATTTAACATTGCTTACTAGAAGCTTACTATTAAGTTTAAAAGTTTATCATCTAGTCTTTTTGATAGCACTCTTACCAAACGAGTTTTTTAAAGTGTTATTCTACTTAAAACAGCACATGATCTCAGGGTTTAATACTTCTATAAAGTATTATATATGCCACATTTCTCATAAATTAAAGAGCATTTTAATTTATTCATATAATTCCACTGCTATTTTATATGTTTTGTTGTTGTTATTTGCTGTTGAGTCAGACCTGACTCACAGCGACCCCTCCTTGGGTTTCCGAGGCGGTATCACTACGGAAGTAGATTGCCCAACCTTCCTTCCCCTTCCAAGGAGATAATACATGCACACACATACACACACACACAACACACACACAACACACACGTGTGTATTTATGTATGTATGTATGTATATGGGCCTTTGTTTTCTGTTCTTTTTATGGTCATTGAATTATATGGGTAGCTTTGTATTCAGTTCATTTTACTTAATAGTTGTCATAAGCATTTTTCTATGTTGCTTTGGTCTATATAATTAAAGTTTTAAAAGTTCAAGTAGGCTATTGAGTTAATGTCCCCATTCTGAATTCTAGATTGTTTTCTTTTTTTTTGTTGTTGTTATTATAAATAGCACTGTATCATCTTGTTACAGTTTTTTTTTTCTCTTTTGTTAGATTATTACTTTAGATTCTATTCCTAACTGAAATTACTGAGTCAAGAGTAATGAACAGTTTATGGCTATTTATATATTAGCAAATTACTCTTTAAAAGAAATGTAAGACACAGAGACTTTCAAAGCTGGTCATGTCTTTGGCTCCAGAGGCAGGCAGTAGAGATAGGGTGGCTGGGGGAGGAGAAAAAAAAGATTAACTTATGAAATTAGCTTTTGACTAGCTCATTTGTGGAGTCAAGCAGACAGCAAGTGTTTTTTTTAAGCTATGTAGCATGTCACAATCCCAGTTTTAGGAATTGGAGGAGATGTGAAAATTATGACAAGTCTCTGAAGAGACTTATAATACTCTTGGAGTCACAAGACATGTATGAAACAGTAAGATGATAATATGAAGATTTTCTTTTGTTTTGGTCTTAATTGATAGGTTTAAATTATTGGAATATATATATCTAGAGAAAGGAGAGAGAGTATTAAGTGGAGTAAATGAGAAATGCTTTGGCAAGAAAGTAGGATTGAAATTTTGCTTTGAAAAGACAAAATTTGGAGAGAAGAGAAGCTAGGGATTCTACAGTTGGGGGAGTCACATAGGAGAGACAGTAGTGAGGTGGAAATGCTTACTGTGGAGAAGTCTTGGCTGATAGTTTTGAATCCAGGTTCTGCCATTTACTAATATATGGGCTAGCTAATTAGTTTCAGTTTTCTCCCCTGTAAAGTAGGGATAATAATACCTTAAAAGATTGTTATAAAGATATAAAATGAATTTAGGAGAGTGCTTGGCTTATGGAAAATGGCGATCGATGGGTTGTTGGATGTTACAACTCCATATGGTGTCGCTCACATTACACTCCATGTGAATGATCCTGCCTGGAGCACTGGTCCAGAATAAGGTATAAATCATGTGCTTTTGGAATTGTATAGCACAGGGAAACTAGGTCAACAAAGATTACCAGTTATTTATCTTTAAAAACCACAGGAATTAAGAATCATGCAGAAGAATTTGGTCTTAATATGGTAGACAGTAGGATCAAGAACACAGGGAGGGATGTGATATGTTTTAAAAGATTCATGGTGTATGATATGAATTAGAATTAAAGTACAGATAGGCTGTGGAAAGCCAAATGAATAGCTGAGGTATATTGCAAGTGAAAAATCAGTTGCACTTAGGATTGATTGGAGATAGGGTTGGATCAAAGATGATTCACAAAGTTTTGAGCCTAAATTACTAGGTAAAATTGTGATTCCATTAACTAGGAAGATTATGAAGAAAGCCTTTTGAGAAAAAAAGGGCTTGTATGGTAAGAACATACTGAATTTTAGGTGAGGGGAGGATATTTGATTGTAAATGCATATAAAAAGCAGTGGAGATAATGGGACCAAAGCTTTGGAGAGAAAGCAGGATTAGAGGTGTAATTTGTAAGTGAAAAATAATAAAATAAAGCCATAATTTCTCTAATATCTTCATTCTTCTAAATAATGAAACCATGTTGGCAATCAAGATAAAGTCATATATAGAGATGAGGCCCAGGGGTAAGGAGGAGAGAATTGGTGTATTTCCAATTCTTTTTGAAATGATGACTAGACCGAGTACACTGTCTAGTGTAAGTGGAAAACAGAAAAGCTGCATAGGTTTTTTTTTTTTTTTATCATTACGAAAGACATAAGACTTTCACGCAAGCACCAGAATAGACCTGAATTTTCCAAAAGTTTCGCAGTTGTCTCCTTTGAAACACAAGGCCTAATGCCGGAGACCATTATTATAGTAGTGGAGATTTTACTCTCACATGGGGGGGGTGGCGATAAACCCTGAGAAGGCTAGAATGAAGCCCACAGTGCCTTTGTGCACCAGATCAGAAATCAGGATAAAATGAGTATTAGTGTGAGTTTTGTGAAATAATGGGGTTACCCTTTGCCCCAGGATCTTCAAATACAGAAATTCCTAGAGAGTGAACGGCTCTTGCCACAACATTGGCTGACCACTCTAGATTAGGATTTTATACATATTTGAATTTGAGTACTACTTTTATCTTAAGCTTCTCTTCAAGAAAAGCGTGATAACCAAGAAGAGGTACTTCAGAAAGAGAAGTGAGCTTCCAAATACTTCGATTCATACCAAAATTTAGAATCAATATGTAATTAATATAATTCCTCTTTTTTTTTTTTAACTAAGTAGTTTGACCATTTTTATAAAAGCAATAAAAATTACACTTTTTAAAAGAAACAGCTTTTTTTATTAACCAGGTTACATTGTATTTCTTTAATATTATTTTCATGGAAAGAAGTTGCAAACCACAAAGTAAAATATACTATGTAGTAGTGTTAAGGCTCTATTTGCATTATTAAGCTGTGTCCTAGGTTCTGACCTCAGATGTAACAGTACCTTTTCAGAAGGTTGGAGAACATTATTTAATCAAGACCTGTTGTTGTTGTTGTTATGTGCTGTCGAGTCAGACCCGACTCATAGTGACCCCTCCTTGGGTTTCCGAGGCAGTATCACTACGGAAGTAGATTGCTCCATCTTCCTTCCGAGGAGTGGCTGGTGGGTTTGAACCACCAGCCTTCTGATTAGTAGTCAAGTACCTTAGCCACTATGCTACCAGAGCTCCCTAATCAAGACCTAGTAGGATTTTTTCTTAAATGAATTAGTGTTATATGTGTTGTCTATGGGGAGGCAGGAGGATGATCTACTTTTTCCCCTCTTTTATGATGAGTGAACATTCAGAAGGAATCCTTGGGTGGCAAAAACAGTTAAATACTTGACTACTAACTGAAAAGTTGGCAGTTCGAACCAACCTACAGAGGTCATTTCTGAGAGGCACAGCCTTGAAAATCCTACAGTGCGTGGAATGGCCATGAGTTGGAATTGGCTTAATGGTAACTGATTTGGTTTGAGTTTTAAACATTCAGAAGTATTCTTAAACTATATTGTATAACTGGTTTAAGCTAGGTGACAGGAAATACTTTCTGACAGATTTACTAGCCCTTAAAGGGGAATTGAGGAGCTCTGGTAGCGTAGTGCCTAAGGCACTTGACTGCTAATCAGAAGGCTAGTGGTTCAAACCCACCAGCCACTCCTTGGAAGGAAGGTTGGGCAATCTACTTCCGCAGTGATACCACCTGGGAAACCCAAGGAAGGGTCACTATGAGTCGGGTCCAACTGGATAGCACATAACAACAACAGCAACAAAGGGGAAATGAGACTGCCTCTGGAATCTCTGTCTCTCATCAAGGTCATGATCCAAACTCAATGCTATTGAGTCAATTCTGACTCATAGCAACCCCATAGGACAGAGTAGAACTGCGCCATAGGATTTCCAGGGCTCCAAATCTTTATTGAAGCAGGCTATCTCATCTTTCTCCCATGGAGTGGCTGGTGGGTTCTAACCTCTGACCTCTTGGTTAGCAGACAAATGCTTTAACCATTGAAATATATTCTTAAGGGAAAGAACTAAACCAGAAATTAACTTATCAGAATTTGACCTGATACAGATTTTCCTAATGAAAAGAAAAAGGAGCTCTGGTTGTATAGGGCCTAAGACATTTTACTGCTAACCAAAAGGTTATTGGTTGAAACCCACCAGCCAGTCTGTAGAAGGAATACTGGGCTATCTACTTGCGTAAAGATTTACCACCTCAGAAACCCAAAGGGGGTCGCTATGAGTTAGAATCGGCTCAATGGCAGTGAGTTTTTTAATGAGAAGAGGGAAGATAAAGGCAAAATAATGATCAGAAATCCACCATGTTTTGTGTGTTGTTTTTAATATTTTGAGAACATTAAGTTTTTTGTTTTGTAACTGATTAGGATTTTTCTTTGCCTAGCTACACAGAATAGATGGTCTCTTTGATAAGATTTTATTATAGAAGGGGAAAATCAAAGGTAGAAAATATAACAAAGTCATTTTCTTTTTAAAATCCTCTTAAGATAGAACCTAATAGAAATCTAAAAGATAGTATCTTCCTAGAAAGCTCACTTGCTAATAATACTAACGGGGTCACCACTCAGAGACATGGAACACCACCCCAAATAAAAGTGGAGAGTGACAGAAGATAAAATCCTATAGAATCTTGGGATTTGAAACCATATACACTGTTGTTCAAATAGGAATTAATTTTCTCATAACCAGTTATTTGGAGCTAGGACCCTATTGAGATGAAAGTAAAGATTTTCAGTTTTTGAAGGGGTTGTTTTGTTGGTTGGGTTTAAGAGCTATGCAGAGAACTTTTTGTGGCATCAAGATTGCATGAGCAACTATTGAGTTTCCATACTTGTACCTAGAGTTCTCTTTAATCTCAACGTTTCTTCCTGGCAACTCCAAAACAAATGACTATCAAAGCACAGATTATAGTAGATTAGTTTTGACATGTGCTATCATTTCATATTTTCAGATTTCAGTCTACTTTTATAGTTGTAGCTTTAAAAAAGACAAATACTTAATTCTAAAAATCTTGAAGGTAATTTGTAGGTAGTTATGGTGTCCCCGGGCAGGTGGTCCAAAGCCTACATAGCCTGAGCTTCATGTGAAACATTATTCACTCTCTTAAAAAAATTTCTTTTTTTAAAAAAATCTGTGTTTATATGTGATATAATAACCAAAACTACAATATGTTCAATGTCAGTGATAATGGATTCTTTGAAGAGAGTCTTTTCCACAGTCAAGGAATGTGCATTGTATTTTCAGAAAGATTTTTGCCTCATCTCAAATCACTTTCACCCCATGTAAATATCTTCAAGTCTGACATTCATATTTTTATTCTTCATGATGTTAACAAGTGTTTGTAACAGTCGTGTTTTGTTTTATCTTACATCAAGGAACCTGAAGAGATAAATGCAGATGATGAGGTGGAGGACACGTGTGATAACAAGGAGGATGACTTGGGAGCTGTGGAGGAGCAGCGCAGTGTTATCCTGCATCTCTTGTCACAGCTCAAGCTGGGCATGGATTTAACAAGAGTAAGGAATGGGATAAGCTGGTTGTGGAGGTCATTAAATCAAGACTATTCCTGTAGTTGTTAATAATGTCTGGGATTTTTACTTTTTATGATTCGCTTAGTATTTTAATCACCACTTCTTATTTTCAGGGAAAAAAAAAAAAGATTTTCTGTGGAGTAGGAAGTTGCATGGAATATAAAGACCTGCAGTCTTCTTTTTTTTTTCTTTTTTT